ATATTTTGGTACTAAAATATCTTCAGGTGAATGTAATGGTGAATCAAGCAGACCACAAAATTCTGTGAAGGGGCTCAGCAACGTTCAGCCTTCAAGTTCACTTAATAAACAGAATGAAGTGGAGGCTGTAAAAGCAGCAAATGATAGTTTACCAGCATCTTTAACTACTCCTACAGAGAATGGATGTACTGATAATTATAAAAATGGTTATGCCCATAGTAATGGCGTGAAAGAGGCGACAACGGATAATATTGATGCAGCTTCATTACCTTTATTCAATAACGAAGGTGGTCTCTCCAATCAATTTCCAAGTCTGGAATTGCAGAACAGAGAGCAGAATGGTCGTGTTGATGATTTATCAGCTTCTAAGGTAAAGGGGGAACTACAGAAGTGTTTGAATGGGCCTGTTACAGTTTCTACGGTCTTGTTGCCTCGTGGTTTAATCAATTCGGGGAATCTGTGCTTTCTCAATGCAACGCTACAGGCTCTTTTATCCTGTTCTCCTTTTGTTCAGCTTCTGCAGGAATTGAGAACTCGCAAAGTGCCTAAGGTTTCGTTTGTTTACTCGATTACTTTGCATTTACGTGGTTTTAGTAGAATTGCTATTTGCAAATAACAAAATTTAAGGTGCTGAGATAGAGTTAGGCCTAATCTATGAAGGACAATTATGTTGGTGATTTATCTGAGTTCTCTGGCGTTCATAATGTACTCAAGTTTCACTGGTTATGCCTATGTATCTCTGACTCTGTTTTTTCCCTCAGGCTGGATTAGCTCTTGGAGAGTTGCGAAAGGAAAATAATTTCCTAAGAAGCCTTTGGCCAGTAACTAATCCACCTTCAAGTCAAGAACATCTTTTACATCCTCAATTTTTACAGAAGCCTCTCCACCCATTCCTTGCTCGAGGGTATTTTGATGATGTAGGAGTGTAAAACGTGATTCCATTAAGGACGTCGTGTCCTTTTTGTAATATGTTGTAGATTATGAATATATAGTGGGAATGTGGAATGAAATTATAGTGGGAATGTGGAGTTTTTGTATTGCCATTGTATTGCTCCCCTATTGCATTTGTATTGTCATCGTATTGCCATTTTAGTGTTATGGTATTGCCTGGTTATTGCACTTATATTTGTTTCTTATCACCTGTTTTTTCAAGTCTGTATTGTGAAGGAACACTAGCGTAAGGATATTTTGTAAAAGAAAACACTAGCGTAAGTTTATTTTGTAAAGGAAAATGTCAGATCATTATTCATTATCATATAAATAAGGTACAATAAGCACCGTATATGTATCTCTTCAACATGATTGATTTGTGTTCAGCTATTGGTGTAAGAATGTGATTCAATTATTGCTTTTTTATTGATTATTTATTATTGTAAGAATGTGATTCCATTAAGGACGTTATGTCCTTTTTATAAATCAAACTTAAAGTTGCTTTCCCTGCAACAAATTATATTAATTAAGAAAACCAACCAAAAAGCAATAC